ATAAACTTGCTTTTTTTTTAGTAGTAAAGAACATGATATAATTTTGACAGACTTTTTAAACCACCTACTCAATATTTGTTCTAGACAGTAAATAATTAAACCGGTTGAAGTATTGGTAATATATTTAGTCTAAGTGTTTTTCTGTACATGAATGACAACCGCACCTGATATTTTACACCAACCGCAAAATCTCAAGCCTTACATGTCGAATTTATCTCAAATAAAACAAATTACGGAAAAACCGTAAAAAATATTTTTGTTACAAGTTCTGCAGACATCATTTTACAGATATACAATAATTATGTTAGTGAAATGTAACAATAATATAATTATGTTGTTTGTTCCACTAACTCCTTCAAATCATTTCGGATTTTTTCCCTTTTCTTTGTTAAATCAAAGCGTATATCATCTTAGAAAACTCCAACTCTTAAACGTGGGTAATCTCGCAATACAGAAGGCAACGTTCTGAAACAAGTGGCGCTAGCTGTAAAAACTTTCTAATTTGCGCGGCGGGATGGATGTGCCTCCGTATTTATACCGTTAACTTTATTCACATGAGCAATCTGATTTAAATCATATCCTACATTCTCTACGTATCTAATCCGATTGTTCACATGAGGGAACCAACGGGCAAAGCTAAGTGGGGGGAACAGTTCGAACTAACTATCTGGGGAATTCGTTTTCTTATAAAATGACATTTCAGACAACAAACAATACTAAACTTCAGTGGCTTCAGTACTGGATATCTCATCACATTTTAATTACTAATTCCAGACTTTTTAGAGCAAAGTTACATTCGGCACACCTCGGCAGATTTTCTAGATGTAGGGTACCGGAATCTGCCGAGGTGTGCCGAATGAGCAAAAGTTAGTCACCAGTCCTTTATGTAATTTATGTATTATTTGGGAATACCAAGTTTACAAGTTTTTACAAGTTTATTGTTTTTCCTCAGATACATTAAAATGTACAACATGAGGTATCAGAGTATAATAATACACATGTGATGACAAAATGGATGGCAAGTTCGCAAAACAGTAATCATGATACATATTACAACAGTTTGTTATTTTTTTCCAACAAAAGACAAATTCCATTTAATACTGTCTTGTTACAAAATGACAACAGACCACTTATTTTGATTTGAGACGGATTTTTTCTATAATACAGAGGAATATATTTTTCTCGTAAGCTCTACAATTATTAAATGTACATTTGAATAAATAATGAAATTCGTCGCCTAGCTCATTTTTACATAGAGTGCATTTTCGGTCTTGTTTTTGAATATTATGCCACCTATACCCGTTTCAATGGGAAATTTTATATTAGAACATCTAAATTTGCATAATATTGATCTGGTTTTTTTTCAGAAAGGCGAGTCAAATAAGGCTCAAGTTCATGTTTCTTCTTAAAGCTACCATAGAGTTCTCCTCGAGATGAATTTTGAATGTTTGCATGCCATCTTTGTAAAAATTGATCAATAACAGTTTGTTTGACAGTGTACTGCAAAAATTTCAAATGAGTTTGTTCTACTATTTTGATATTTTCGTAACCCCATATTTCATAGCCATATAACAATGTAGGACTAACTAGGGTATGAAATAATTTAAGTTGCAAGTCTATCGGAAGATGTTGATTTTTTATATTACGATACACAGAAAAAATGGATGTTTGGGCTTGTTCACAAAGCTTTCATTTACATTTCAAAAAGCTACCATTGTAATTAAATGTCACACCCAGATAGCTAAAATTGTCCACCTCTTCTATAACTTAACCGTTAATTCTAAATACATGGTTATGATTAGATTTGCGTTTGCAGAATACAAGTACTTTTGTTTTCTTCACATCAACTTCTAATTTCCATATATCACAGTATTTCTGAAAAAAACGTTAAGAGCATTTCGCAAACCTTCAGCAGAATCAGAAAGAAGAATTGTATCGTCAGCGTATAACAGGACAAAAAGATCCACACACATATTCAGCTCAGTCTGAAATTTATCTTTCAATTGTTCTAAGGGAAGTGAACTATTAGCTCTAAAAAGTCTTCCATGTCATTAAGGTAGATAGAAAATAAAAAGGGGAAAGATTTTCGCACTGCCTTACACCAACTAGACAAGGAAATAACTCAGACTTGGTGTTTTTTAATTCTGCACATGTTTTTATATTTTCATACATGTTTTTGATAATAGAAAAGCATTTGCCTCTAATTTTGCTTTTATATAATTTTCTGAATAGTCCTACTCTCCAAACCGTATCAAACGCTTTTCTAAAATCGATAAAAGTCGTATACAGTTTTTTGTTACTGGCCAAATATAAAGATAACAGCGTGTGCAATACAAAAATATTGTCAACCGTGGAGTGACCTTTACGGAAACCTGCTTGATTAGGAGAGATTATATTATTTTTTATCTGAGTAGTCATTAACCCTGTTGTTCAAAATATGTGTAAACAGTTTCCCGAGACAACTTATCAGTGTGATACCCTGGTAATTATCTGGGTCTTTAGGGTCACCCTTTTTCTTATAAATTGGTTTTGTTATCCCAATTGTCCAGGATTCAGGGATCACTCCAGAGTTAAAAATAAGGTTAAACAGTTTACATATTACTAGACGTGCTTCATTAGGTAGATATTTGATATTTTCGTTCAAAAACTGATCCATACCCGGTGACTTACCACTTCCCTATATAGATCATCATATCTATATTGTATGTATAAGACATACATATCTATATTGTATGTATAAGGCATAAATATCTATATTGTATGTATAAGGCATATATATCTATATTGTATGTATAAGACATACATATCTATATTGTATGTATAAGGCATATATATATATATTGTATGTATAAGACATACATATCTATTTTGTATGTGTAAGGCATACATATCCATATTGTATGTATAAGGCATACATATCTATATTGTATGTATAAGGCATAAATATCTATATTGTATGTATAAGGCATAAATATCTATATTGTATGTATAAGGCATAAATATCTATATTGTATGTATAAGGCATATATATCTATATTGTATGTATAAGGCATATATATCTATATTGTATGTATAAGGCATACATATCTATATTGTATAATACATTATGAGTTTGTCTGTCTCTGTCTTCTGTCTCTCAGTCTGCTTTTGTCAATGTTTTTTTCTTCCTTAATTTGGTATCAAGCTGTAGGTATGAGCGTGCAAGTTGAATGTAAGTGTGTGTGTGAGTGTGTGTGTGTGTGTGTGTGTGTTTGTTGGTGTGTGTGTGTGTGTGAGAGAGTATGTGTGTGTGGGGGTGGGGGAGGGGGGTGGGGGAAGGGGTGAACATAATGAGAATTCTTCCTGGCTTTTTCACAATTATGACAATGGTGCCCTTGTTGATGATGATAATGTTGAAGAATAGATGATAGCGATGATGATAATGATGATAGCGATGATGATAATCATGATAGCGATGATGATAATGACGATAGCGATGATGTTGAAATATGATGATAAAACGATAATGATGATGATGATGATGATGATGATGATGATGATGATGATGATGATGATGATGATGATGATGATGATGATGATGCTGATGACGATGATGCTGATGACGGTACATACATTGAGATAGTTTGAGTTTATGTTTGTGTGAATGTGTGCTTTTGTCGTGTCTGAAATATTATGTAAACAATTGTGAAAAATAAACAATTACAAAAAAAAGTTTATCCACAACGTTTTAACCAAAAGGCGACTATGATGCAGTGTAGACATGATCATTGTTTACGACAATGACGATCTGTTTGTTGTGCTTATTAGCAATGTGTCCTTCTTTTCCTTTTTAATATCTCCATATGCAAATTGGCAAAAAAATGGCATTAAAAAAAGTTCGATTTATCTGAATATTTCAATTTTGTCAAATAAACCCAATATATCATAATACTGAACTAATGATATCTCATTTTATGAATAAATTACAAAACGGCATACCAAATACACAATATGATTAGACACACAAGTACTGCATGGTCACCGTATCATTTTATTTCTTAACTTGACCTGTTTGTTTGTTTGTTTGGGTTTAACGGCCCATCGACGGCTGCGGTCATTTAGGGCCATGGTGATTTATTTATTTATTTCATTTGTTAAACAATCATGTGAGAAGCAAAGATAAAATCAGATAAAAAGGTTAATTTTAAAACCATTCGCATTGTATGTGTAGACAATTAAAATAAAACGGGGGTTAAAATATTAAAAGAGATAACGAATAGATGATATGGACTATGTGATATATATAACGTCAAAAAGGGTAAGGTGGTTTAAAAGGCATCAGATTCTATAGAATAGACCGACGTCTTTCAAATAGATTAATAATGTCTTCGAGTCCACGGAACTGAAAAGAGTTTTCATATCCGGGAATCGAAAGTAGTTATCACGAATGTGTTTAAAATCGGTACATTCTGTTAAAAAAATGTTCCACTGTAAAAGGAGTGTCATATGCGTGGCATGAAGGTGGATCGTCTCGTTTTAAAAGGTACGAATGAGTAGGATATGTATGTCCAGTACTGAGCCGAGCGAGGACAATTTCGATCCTCTCTACGATCTTTCCAACTGGGATCAAATATTTTAAGTTTGTACTTTAACAAAATTGTTGCTGCCGTTCATTTTGAATGGCTATTCGAATAATAGGTTTAAAATCTGTATATGGAAGGAAATTTGAAATTCGGATACCAAATGTTGGCAAAAGTTTTGAGTTTTGCGTAGATCTATATGTTTTGGTATTTTGGGTTGAATGTATACATAAAACAAAAAAGAATATCTGTGACCACCAGAAAAAATGTGATGTGTATCAATCTTTCTGATTATTGATTATTAAAAAAGTGATTAAAATTCATTTATTCAGGATGGCATTTAAGAAAATCCGAAATTCATGAAAAGATCTTGGATGTGTGCAGTTTCCGGAATTTAGTGAGTATTCCGGCACGGATTTTAGTAGCTCGTGTAAACTTCCGTTCGCAAGCGAGTCGAGGAGTCGAGGAGTCGAGAGTTTCAGTTTAAAAAATTGCATCTTTTGGACGTGTTGCTCAATGACAACTCTTAAAGATGTTACGATTTGATTGAGTAGCTATTTGATTGCTTTTTAACACGATTGCTTAGTTTAAATTACTCTGATTTGTCCCCCACAAACAGAATTGCGATGTCGTGACTTAACACACTACCAGCTACAAACTGTTTACCCGCCAAGAAATTGATTACGATACTCGGATAGCTAGGATTAAAATGGACTCCGAATGGTAAGCTTACTTATAGTGAAATAAATCTAAACGAGATGTAAATTGTAGTTTGAGTGAAATGTTATATTTGAAGGAATAACATGTTTGTCTCTATATAGTTGTTTTTATGTTGTCTGAATCGTTGTTAAGAGTTCTGATTCCGGAGGTCCTGGGTTTTATGACAGACACTCATGATCAATTCTAGTATGAGGCACAGGTGTTGGACACAATAATATGATGTGTATATATAGTATATACTCAGTACTGTACACATCACATTAGTGTGTCCAGCACCTGTTGATTGAGGGAGATCGGAGAGGAGGAAAACGTTTGATTACGTTAACTACATATGTATATATGCACGGCCAAACTGGGGTCCGAACCCAGGACCCTCCAAACTCTAGACGGATGCTCAGCAAATTGAGCTACCTGGTTGCCAACATTCGACCCAGTACAGTTCCACTACATTCTCTCCTTTTTCTTAGTCTTTGCCCCCAAAGACACAACTATTTACAACCCATGTCCGGATCTCCAACACCAAATGCTTGAAACAAGGGTTAATCACAGGTGCCACTGTAACAAGAGAGGAAAAATGCACGCTGAGACTGAGGTTCAAATTAAGGACCCTGCGAACTCTATATCGGCGCCCTACCAAGTGAGATACCTGGTTGGTGACGATCGACCCAGTCCAGTTACGCTACACATATATGTAAACATGTGTCGTCCTCCTCTCCAATTATTCTTGCTGAGGTCAGTACAGTATATTACTCTTATGTACCTGTGCCAACAAACTTATTTTCAGATGTATGTGTTTTATAGCAAACTTTTCTGTACTCCTGAAATAGATGGAATTTCATCCAATCATTCAGACTTTTTTTTACTGCAGAAGTTAAGTTTACATAGCCTGTATTCTTTTTGAACTATCATCCTGGTATGTGTAATACATTTATTCCTCGATTACTAATACAAAAAATACTTTGTTACTAATAGTGGTGAAGAGCAGACGGCCCTGGCTGGGACCATCAAGGCCATAGACAAGGGATCTGTCCACAGAATCTGCTCGGGGCAAGTGGTACTGACATTGGCTACAGCAGTCAAGGAACTCATTGAAAATAGCATTGATGCTGGTGCTACTACTGTAGGTTAGTGTACAGGAGACTTGTAGATTCTAACTTGATAGTAACATCAACACTGGTGTTACTACTGTAGGTAAGTATACAGGAGACTTGTAGTGAATAACAACAACACTGGTGTTACTACTGTAGGTAAGTATACAGGAGACTTGTAGAGCATAACATCAACACTGGTGTTACTACTGTAGGTAATTAAGTATACAGGAGACTTGTAGAGAATGACATCAACACTGGTATTACTACTGTAGGTAAGTATACAGGAGACTTGTAGTGAATAACAACAACACTGGTGTTACTACTGTAGGTAAGTATACAGGAGACATGTAGAGATTAACATCAACACTGGTGTTACTACTGTAGGTAATTAAGTATACAGGAGACTTGTAGAGAATGACATCAACACTGGTATTACTACTGTAGGTAAGTATACAGGAGTTACTACTGTAAGTAAGTATAGAGGAGAGTTGTAGAGAATAACATCAACACCAGTGTTACTACTGTAGGGAAGTATACAGGAGACTTGTAGAGAATAACATCAACACCAGTGTTACTACTGTAGGTAAGTATACAGGAGACTTGTAGTGAATAACAACAACACTGGTGTTACTACTGTAGGTAAGTATACAGGAGACATGTACAGAATAACAACAACACTGGTGTTACTACTGTAGGTAAGTATACAGGAGTTACTACTGTAGGTAAGTATACAGGAGACTTGTAGTGAATAACAACAACACTGGTGTTACTACTGTAGGTAAGTATACAGGAGTTACTACTGTAAGTAAGTATAGAGGAGAGTTGTAGAGAATAACATCAACACCAGTGTTACTACTGTAGGGAAGTATACAGGAGACTTGTAGAGAATAACATCAACACTGGTGTTACTACTGTAGGTAAGTATACAGGAGACATGTACAGAATAACAACAACACTGGTGTTACTACTGTAGGTAAGTATACAGGAGTTACTACTGTAAGTAAGTATAGAGGAGAGTTGTAGAGAATAACATCAACACCAGTGTTACTACTGTAGGGAAGTATACAGGAGACTTGTAGAGAATAACATCAACACTGGGGTTACTACTAGAGGTAAGTATACAGGAGACTTGTAGAGATTAACATCAACACTGGAGTTACTACTGTAGGTGAGTATACAGGAGACTTGTAGAGAATAACAACAACACTGGTGTTACTACTGTAGGTAAGTATACAGGAGACTTGTAGTGAATAACAACAACACTGGTGTTACTACTGTAGGTAAGTATACAGGAGTTACTACTGTAGGTAAGTATATAGGAGACTTGTAGAGAATAACATCAACACCGGGATTACTACTGTAGGTAAGTATACAGGAGTTACTACTGTAGGTAAGTATATAGGAGACTTGTAGAGAATAACATCAACACCGGGATTACTACTGTAGGTAAGTATACAGGAGTTACTACTGTAGGTAAGTATATAGGAGACTTGTAGAGAATAACATCAACACCGGGATTACTACTGTAGGTAAGTATACAGGAGTTACTACTGTAAGTAAGTATAGAGGAGAGTTGTAGAGAATAACATCAACACCAGTGTTACTACTGTAGGTAAGTATACAGGAGACTTGTAGAGAATGACATCAACATCAGTGTTACTACTGTAGGTAAGTATACAGGAGACTTGTAGAGATTAACATCAACACTGGTGTTACTACTGTAGGTAAGTATACAGGAGACTTATGCTTGTAGACTTATTATAGCTTAAAAATGGTGCACTATTGCCAGGATTGGCCACGAAGGCCTGATTTTATATTTGTGTGACTATTTTCTCCCCTTGTATATGAAACTGTTAAATTATCTCCTTATATCAAAAGTAGTGCCTTCAATGTATTTTAGACTAGTTTTTGTTGAAGTTTTGAATTGAAAGTTTTATATTTTATTGGTGTTCTTTATTCAGAAGTAAAATTACGAGACTATGGAAGCCAATTGGTGGAAGTCGTTGATAATGGATCGGGTGTGGAGGAGAAGAATTTCGAAGGACTCAGTAAGTTAGCAATAGCTTAAGGGTAATAGTTCAAAACAGTCATCAAATCTATACCTCCCTACATTGCTTTGTCAGACTTAAAAACAGTTATCAACTAAGTTGCTTTCTGCACAATTCTGTTACTTCTCACTTTGATTGATGTAAGTATTGTAAATACAATATCCCATATTGTTGTCTTCCCCTTATAATATCGCAGCTGAAATAGACTGTTCATGTAGAGATGTTTGATACTTCTATGTAACATATATATCATTTGCTACTTGGGACCAAAAACATAAATATTTTTTGTTTATCTTGTTCCCAGCCTTGAAGCATCACACCTCCAAACTGCAGGACTTTTCTGACCTTGTAGGCGTGGAAACTTTTGGATTTCGAGGAGAGGCTTTGAGCTCTTTGTGTGCGTTAAGGTGGGTAGGTTAAGGTTTCTATCAGGGAAAGTATCAATGAAAAACTTGCAGGGTTCAAAATCAAGTTAGTAATAATTTGGTTGTACTTTAGGTTTATTGGGAGTGTTTTATATTCTGCAGAGTTTAGAAGTTGCAAGAATGAAAAAATGATTATCTTATAAAAAATTTGGATCCATGTTTTGAAATAATGAAGACATAAGTCTAAGAGCCTTGTTATTGTCTTTGAATTATTTTATCACTGCTCTGAGTTTGTTTCCCAAAATCAACATTTCATAATGAAACAGAACCATTTCTGACAATGGCAAGAAAAATCAAATTCATCCTTAAAAAAATTGTGTGTAACTGAAAGAGAAGAAATAATTTCAGTAAATTGTAAAGTAAAAATGTTTATTTTATTTGCAAGAATTTGTCCATCTGGAACAACAATGAAGGGTTAGATAAAGGGAGATAAATGTTTTCTTAATACAGAGTTGTCTCCCTTCCTTTACACATGATATGTTGTGTTGATGTTTTTTTTGTGCCCTGACAGTGGACTGACTGTAGTGACCAGACACTCAAGTTCAGATGTAGGGACGAAATTGGAGTTTGACCATAATGGCAAAATTTCACAGAAGACAGCTCAGGCCAGACAGGTAGGTACTGGTCAGTGTGGACAGCTCAGGCCAGACAGGTAGGTACTGGTCAATGTGGACAGCTCAGGCCAGACAGGTAGGTACTGGTCAATGTGGACAGCTCAGGCCAGACAGGTAGGTACTGGTCAGTGTGGACAGCTCAGGCCAGACAGGTAGGTACTGGTCAATGTGGACAGCTCAGGCCAGACAGGTAGGTACTGGTCAGTGTGGACAGCTCAGGCCAGACAGGTAGGTACTGGTCAATGTGGACAGCTCAGGCCAGACAGGTAGGTACTGGTCAGTGTGGACAGCTCAGGCCAGACAGGTAGGTACTGGTCAGTGTGGACAGCTCAGGCCAGACAGGTAGGTACTGGTCAATGTGGACAGCTCAGGCCAGACAGGTAGGTACTAGTCAGTGTGGACAGCTCAGGTCAGACAGGTAGGTACTGGTCAGTGTGGACAGCTCAGGCCAGACAGGTAGTTACTGGTCAGTGTAGACAGCTCAGGCCAGACACAGTGGGACACACTTGAAGTGGAACAGACTGAAAGGGGAAAAGACTGATAGTGGGCAGACTAATAAAAAAAAAGACAACCTGATAGTAAGATAAACTGATAGTGGGACAGATTGATAGTAGGACACTGATAGTGGGACAGACTGATATAGGGACATACTGATAGTGGGACAGATTGATAGTAAGATAAATTGATAATAGGACACTGATATAGGGACATACTGATAGTGGGACAGACTGATAGATACACATACTGATAGTGGGACAGATTGATAGAGGGAGATACTGATAGTGGGACAGGCTGATAGTGTGAAACACTGGAAGAGGGACAGGCTGATAGTGGAACAGACTGATTTTGTGACAGACTAATAGTGTGACAGACTGAAAGAGGGACAGACTGATAGTGTTAAACACTGATAGATGGACAGGTTGATAGTGGGACAGACTGATTTTGTGACAGACTGATAGCGTGACAGACTGATAGAATGACAGACTGATTGAAGGACTGACTGATAGAGGGACAAACTGATAGGGTGTCCACACTGATAGAGGGACAGACTGATAGGGTGTCAACACTGATAGAGGGACAGACTGATAGGGTGTCCCCACTGATAGAGGGACAGACTGATAGGGTGTCCACACTCATAGAAGGACAGACTGATAGAGGGACAGACTGATAGGGGGTCCACACTGATAGAAGGACTGACTGATAGAGGGACAGACTGATAGGGTATCCACACTGATAGAGGGACAGACTGATAGGGTGTCAACACTGATAGAGGGACAGACTGATAGGGTGTCCACACTGATAGTGTGAAACACTGGAAGAGGGACAGACTGATAGAGGGACAGACTGATAGGGGGTCCACACTGATAGAGGGACAGACTGATAGGGTGTCAACACTGATAGAGGGACAGACTGATAGGGTGTCCACACTCATAGAAGGACAGACTGATAGAGGGACAGACTGATAGGGAGTCCACACTGATGGAGTGACAGACTGATAGTGTGAAACACTGTAAGAGGGACAGACTGATAGAGGGACAGACTGATAGTGTGACAGCCTGATAGAGGACAGACTGATAGGGTGTCCACACTGGTAGAGGGACAGACTGATAGTGTGAAACACTGGAAGAGGGACAGACTGATAGTGTGACAGACTGATAGAGGACAGACTGATAGAAGGACAGACTGATAGAGGGACAGACTGATAGTGTGACAGACCGATAGAGGACAGACTGATAGGGTGTCCACACTGGTAGAGGGACAGACTGATAGTGTGAAACACTGGAAGAGGGACAGACTGATAGAGGGACAGACTCATAGTGTGACAGACTGATAGAGGACAGACTGATAGAAGGACAGACTGATAGAGGGACAGACTGATAGTGTGACAGCCTGATAGAGGACAGACTGATAGGGTGTCCACACTGGTAGAGGGACAGACTGATAGTGTGAAACACTGGAAGAGGGACAGACTGATAGTGTGACAGACTGATAGAGGACAGGCTGATAGGGTGTCCACACTGATAGAGGGACAGACTGATAGAGGGACAGACTGATAGTGTGTCCACACTGATAGAGGGACAGACTGATAGGGTGTCCACACTGATGGAGTGACAGACTGATAGTGTGAAACACTGGAAGAGGGACAGACTGATAGAGGGACAGACTGATAGTGTGACAGACTGATAGAGGACAGACTGATAGGGTGTCCACACTGATAGAGGGACAGACTGATAGTGTGAAACACTGGAAGAGGGACAGACTGATAGAGGGACAGACTTATACAGGGACAGACTGATAGTGTGTCCACACTGATACAGGGAAAGACTTATACAGGGACAGACTGATAGTGTGTCCACACTGATAGAGGGAAAGACTTATACAGGGACAGACTGATAGTGGCTGATTTTGTGACAGACTGATAGCGTGACAGACTGATAGAGTGACAGACTGATTGAAGGACTGACTGATAGAGGGACAAACTGATAGGGTGTCCACACTGATAGAGGGACAGACTGATAGGGTGTCCACACTGATAGTGTGAAACACTGGAAGAGGGACAGACTGATAGTGTGACAGACTGATAGAGGACAGACTGATAGAAGGACAGACTGATAGAGGGACAGACTGATAGTGTGTCCACACTGATAGAGGGACAGACTGATAGTGGGACAGACTGATTTTGTGACGAGACTGATTTTGTGACAGACTGATAGTGGAACAGACTGAAAGAGGGACAGACTGATAGTGTTAAACACTGATAGATGGACAGGTTGATAATGGGACAGACTGATAGCGTGACAGACTGATAGAGTGACAGACTGATTGAAGGACTGACTGATAGAGGGACAGACTGATAGTGTGTCTAAACTGATAGAGGGACAGACTTATACAGGGACAGACTGATAGTGTGTCTACACTGATACAGGGACAGACTGATAGTGTGTCCACACTGATAGAGGGACAGACTTATACAGGAACAGACTGTTAGTGTGTCCACACTGATAGAGGGACAGGCTGATAGTGTGAAACACTGGAAGAGGGACAGGTTGATATTGGAACAGACTGGAAGAGGGACAGACTGATAGAGGGACAGACTGATAGAGGACAGACTGATTGGACAGACTGATAGTGTGTCCACACTGATAGAGGGACAGACTTATACAGGGACAGACTGATAGTGTGTCCACACTGATAGAGGGACAGACTGATAATGGAACAGACTGATAGAGGGACAGACTGATACTATGTCCACACTGATAGAGGGACAGACTTATACAGGGACAGACTGATAATGGAACAGACTGATAGTGGGATAGACTGATAGTTGGACAGACTGATAGTGGGACAGACTGATAGTGGAATAGACTGATAGAGGGATAGACTGATAGTGGGACAGACTGATAGTGTGACAGACTGATAGAGGGACAGACTGATAGAGGGACAGACTGATAGAGGGACAGACTGATAGTGGGACAGACTGATAGTGGAGTAGACTGATAGAGGGACAGACTGATAGAGGGACAGGCTGATAGAGGGACAGACTGATAGAGGAACAGACTGATAGTGTGACAGACAGATAGTGGGACAGACTGATAGTGGAATAGACTGACAGAGGGACTGACTGATAGAGGGACAGACTGATAGAGGGACAGACTGATAGAGGGTCAGACTGATAGAGGGACAGACTGATAGTGGGACAGACTGATAGTGATAGTGACTGTATCTGAATGTTTATGACATTCTTCCTGTGAATCAACTGTGTACAAAATAACAGATTAATGAACATAGGCAGAACATGACGTCCATGACTTAAAATTCCACATACTTACAGATCATTTATCACAAACATATTTCTGTCTCTAAGTCTTAAGTAGCTTGAAATGATGTGTGACCTTACCAGCACAGGTTTTGTTTCTTCAAGGTCGGAACCACCGTGACCCTTCAGAATATTTTCTCCACGCTGCCCGTGCGACATAAGGAGTTCCAGCGGAACATCAAGAAGGAGTTTGCCAAGATGGTGAATGTGTTGAATTCCTACTGTATCATCAGTACCAACGTACGAATCACCTGTTACAACCAGACTGTCAAGGGGTAGGTGTTGAGGAAGTTTTATAGAATACGGCCAGTAGTGTAATATTATCATTGTATCTACCGATGTACGAATCACCTGTTACAACCAGACTGTCAAGGGGTAGGTGTTGAGGAAGTTTTATAGAATACGGCCAGTAGTGTAATATTA